ACCATTTCATGGTCACTGCAGCCGAGTCTACCTCCAACCTTCACGTCCTCCACCAGTCCCTCCTTGTTTGTTAACACGAGGTCCAGCAGCGCGCCTTTCCTTGTTGGTTGCTCCACCACTTGCATCAGAAAGTTATCATCGATGCTCTGTAGGAACCTCCTGGATTGCGCCTGCCTAGCTGTATGGTCTTCCCAGCTGATGTCAGGGTGGTTGAAGTCCCCCATGAGAACCAGAGCCTGTGACTGTGAGGCTGCTTGCAGCTGCCTGTAGAAGGCTTCATCAACCTCCTCCTCCTGGTCGGGTGGCCTGTAGTATACACCCACCGTAATGTCACCCGTGTGAGCCTGTCCCTTAATTCTAACCTACAAGCTTTCAACTCCTTCTTCACCTGCCCCCAGGCCAAGCTCAATGCATTCCAGTTTCTCCCTCACATATAGAGCAACTCCCCCACCTCTCCTTGTTGGTCTGTCTTTCCTAAAGAGTCTGTAGCCATCTATGACAGCATGCCAGTCATGCGAGTTGTCCCACCACTTTTCTGTGATGGCGACCAAGTTGTAGCCGTCCTGCTGTATAATGGCTTCCAGCTCCTCCTGTTTATTGCCCATGCTACGTGCATTGGTGTAAACACACTTGAGCTGGGCTGTCAGTCTCACCCCTGGCCTTGGCACGCGAAGCCTGGGCTCATCCCTAGTGAGCTGGGCAATATCCCCTCCCCCTTCGAAGCTACTTGTTGGTGTTATTGTCTCCTTTTCAACCTTTAGGGGCTTAATTACAATTAGCTGATAGGTTCATAAAGATCACTTTCATGGTTTAACTAATACCGTGGCCAGTAAACTATTTTCTGATTTTTATTTGCTGTAGCAGTGTTGAAATACTACATTTTGTTTTGAAGACAAGCTCACATTGTTTATGAAGTGTCTGACTGGGGTGGTAGATGAGGAGAAATAATGTCTAAATTATTTCTGGTAACTAAGATGAATGATCTGGTTTTGTAAATTTATAAATTTTTGTTTCAACTTCTCAAGGTGAAGCAACATAAATATTTAAGCAACTTTATTCTTTCAGAGTTAACTTGGGATCTCTTACTTGCGTAAGCGTGAAACAGATAAGCTACCTTTTGTCCTGGTCCTTTACACAAATAATCATGCTGCTCCCAAATGAAACTAAAGTTTAAATTGTTCTGATACAACTGGAAACACTGTAACTTTTTTTTGCTTGTTTGTTGTTTGAAGTAATTGGGAAAATACTGTGGGAGAACTCTCTAATATGCTTGTGTCTGGTTTTTAACTGTTCATCAGGAGTTTTCCAAAAAAGAATACCAAGCGCAGCTAAATGTGTGACAGAGAAGGAATAATAAGCTGCGGTTTGTCCCAAATACAGGGTCTGGAGATACTATTTTTTTGAGATTATTATGGTCTCAATCCCTAATTTTTAAAAGATTTATTTGCTTTCATTTTTGCAATTATTTCGTATGACTCTGTTAAGTCTATATCTCAAGAATTTAATGATTCTTTTTGCTTAGAATGGATATTTAGTCACTGTCTCTTCCTTCCCCTTAACCAAGAGTTAAAAATAAACCTATAAAACAATGGCAGTATGAAACAACTCACTGGCAGTAACAAGCTGGAAGCACGCTGGTACTTAACCAGGGGAATTCTGCTTTGGTGTGCACATGCCTTAGAAGTAGGTGTTAGAAAATTTAAAAATTAAAAAATGCATATGAGATCTTTTCAGGAGAAATCTTCCCTGGGAGTAATAAAAGCACCTTCCTTTGATAGACAAGAGACTACAGAAATTTTGGCCTTGCATTTGGGGATAATTGCAGCTTCCTTAAAATATAATTTCAAAGTTGAATTTTCTCAAATTCTGCATTTTCCCCTGCTTTATCCTTTTCCCTTTCCCCTCCTCCAGTCTTTCTCTAATATTCACTTCTGGCCCAAACTTGTATACAGCATTATTATAGCCTCATGTTATAAAACTGAAAATTTTAAAATGAAAATAATGATTTGTAATAAAAAGCCTGACAGGCTAATTACAGTATTGCATTAATTATTATCTTATTTCAGCTCTGTTCCTCTCACAGCTAATTCAGATCTGGGTCTTGGTGTTTTTTAATCCCTACCAACACTGTAATTTTGAGAAAGAGAATATACTGGGGAACAATATATATAAAATCAAGAAATAAAAATTGTCAAATAAACAGCTGATTTCTGAAATGTTGCCTTGGACATGTTAGTAATAGAATGCAAGTAGTTCTGTTTAAATGTGATTCTTTGTGGATCTTCTGGCAAGTGTAACACCTATATACTACATAAAACAACTCTTGAAATCTTCAATTTCTGGATATCTTTATAGCATGTACTAAATAGCTGTCATTAATTCAGAAGCTTGTGCATTGTGCAGCGAAGTTGGTAATTCATGGATACATCTTACATTCTGAGTTGTATTTTTTTTCCCAAAGTGTGTGCAATTCTTACAATCATTCAGGTATAGATTGATGTGAGTGTTACAGTATAGCTTTAAGATTGCAGTTTGAAGCTACTTTAGAAAAATACAGTTCTTCAGACAGGGTGAAGCTGAAGTTGAATGAAAGTCCTGTTAGTGTTGAATTACATGTAAGTGTCAATAAAGGAAAAGTTCATAGCAAGTCCTGATTTTGGGAAGTTGAGCATGATAATTTGCTGAAATCGTATCTGTCTTGAAGATAGGCAGATGCAATAATTTTCAGGTTTTTATTTGAACTTTTAAATGGTGCAGAAGGTGCCTGGGTTAGTTTTTAAGCAAGAAAGTGTTTAGAAGTTTTGTCAAATATCATTGTAATGAATGTATGGTAATGAAGGAAATAAAGATAAAAGATGAATTGGTCTGAAATGTTGTTCAGTCATTTAGATTAGGCTAGTTGCATGGGTTGGCTGTTCGATATCTCAAATTATGTTGCCTTAGTTCCTGCACTTGGTTGGCTGTCTTCACGTCTTAGCAAAGTTCTGGGAAGTAGTTTCTGACAGTTTGTTTTGTTTTTCTTTTTCAGGATGCCTCGTCTGCAGACATTCGGAAAGCATATCGAAAGCTTTCACTAATTTTACACCCAGACAAGAATAAAGATGAAAATGCAGAAACACAGTTTAGGCAAGTAAGTGCTATGTGTGGCAATAAAAGTTTTAGGGAAAATAGAATCAGAATTTTTTTATGCTGATGTTTTAGTAAGAACAATTGTATACCTTTGAAATGGTTGTTGAACATTGAATTACACTTTTCCTGATGTAGCTAGATTAAAAACAAGTATACTTTTTTGGAATGAACTTGTTGAACAACTCAGATTTAGTATTTACCTGTATATTAAAAATAATTTGAATGTAATAATTAGATTTATACTCTTAGGAGTAAAATATGTTTTGTGCTTTATGTAATACTGTTCATAAATAGCCTTTTCAAAAGCAGTAGGGAACATTTCTGAACAGTTCTCAACGCCAATCATGTGTAAGCATAATTTAATGAAAATAATTCATTTTAGTTTTTGAAATTTCCCCTTTTGAATCTTTACAGAGTGAAACCACGAGACTGTTGTAATAAGCTGTACCTTTAAAAGTATATTCCTGGTGACTAAATACAGGTTACTTAATTTCAGTAAGATCTTTAGGATGAAATAAATGATACCTTTTATTTTTAAGGTGTGACTGAGACAAGACTCGGTTGACAGATGTGAGGAGAAAAAAGTCTTTTGTAGAAGTTGCTTGTTTGTGGATCTGATGACACTTTGTGTATGAATATGTCACTGTTTCTTTCTCATCCTGAGTTTGCTTCTTAGTGTTGTAGGGAAAAGTGAAAACTGGCAAAGAGCATTAGTTGGCAAATGTAAAATATGGTACTACTATTCAGACTTTATAAACTCAATCCTAAAGTAAACTTTCTTAAGTGTGTTTTTTTCTTTTTCTGTTTTGCTTTTAGTTGGTGGCCATCTATGAGGTTTTAAAGGATGAAGAAAGGAGGCAGAGGTGAGTTTGCACAGGTTCTTAAATAAGACATTCATGCCAGTGTTATATTGACATCCTATTTGACTTAATTGTAACTCTTCAGATGATTTTTTGCAGAATTTAAGTTCGTAATTCCTATGTAGCTGTTTAATTAAAGATTGGATGTGGCTTTAAGGGGAAGCTGGTGTGTATTTTTCTGTGATGTACTAGTTATTCTCCTTTAAAACTAGTATTTGAAAGAACGTTAAAAGCTAGCTGTTAGTTGGAGCAGTTTTTTTAACATATCACTTTTTGGTGAGTTGTGTCAATTAGCATTGCTTGTTTTATTAAAGCTGTGGTAGCCTGCTGATTCAACTGTCACTCATATCTGGCTATATCAATAAAAGGTTTGTTGCATGATATTTGGGGATTATTTTCGGTATATGTCTTCTTCAACATTGTTTTCTGTTGCTTAGTTCAATGTTTTTTCTTTCAGATGTGTTATGTATAAGACTGTAAACTTTGATGTACATATCAATTATTGAAAAAAAATTTATGCTAATTGTCCTTGCTGCATCAGGACCAGGTCCAGCAGTACCTGAAGGGGATAGGATTAAGAACTGAAAACCTGGGGCTGATCTGAATTTCTGCAAGACTGTTTTGAACTTTTTTTTTTTTCCTTTCCTTTTAAGAGGATGTCCATTTTGACTAATGATTGTCAGGAAAACTGGGCCCCTGAAAGAGTTCTGCTTTTAGGTTGGAGTTTTAGTAAATAATTTTTTGGCCTACAAGTCTTTAAACAGGGCTTCACGAGACACTTCTTGAAGGATTTTTGGCTTTGTAGACATCTTGGCAGGAGTCCAGGTTTTATAGTACGGATTATCTACTGCTTGATAATCCTTTCTTGAAGTGTCATGAAAATGTACTTCATAGAACTACTTTTGGAAATTTGTGGGAGTTTTTTTCACCTCTCATAAGACAATTTCATTGTGAAGTTCTATCAAGGAAAATTTTTTAAAAATTGTTACTTAAGTGGTTTCACACCACTTGAAAAGTGAGTTACCCACAAAATTTTCCCACCTTTTTGTTTATAACATTGTTTACATACACTTTGTGATATTGCCTCACCGGAACTTAGTTCCAGCATGGAACTTCTAGATAGCAGGTTTTTGCATGGAACTGTGATGCCGTAGCTTGTAAAAATTATGTTGTTAAGCTTTGTATACGTTATGAATGGCACTAACTTATCCAACTTATTTGTGAGAATATTGTTAATTAGTGCAGCACAGTAATTACAAATGAGTTGTTAAAGCAGCAGTAGATTGTTCTAGCTTGGATTGATTTCATTGTCAATAACTTTTTTGTATGTAGACAATGTCATATTTTTCTTGCACAGTGTGGGTGTGTGGTTGATATTGCTTCTATAGTTGATGAAATACAAAAGTGGTGGATCAAATAGTGGTTAACTTCAGACAATTTTCTGGAATTAATATGCAGAGTTTAGAAGTAACATGTACAGTAGCAGGGCGATATGATCTCCTTTCTTTGAGAAAACCTTTGTTGATCAGATTTATTACACACTGTAATGATAAACTCCCAGTCTGTCCTGTATCCTGTAAGGCATTGTTGTTGCATGTCTTTAAAACAAGTTTTAAGTTAGTGTGCTAGGAGCTGCTCCCCCTGTAATACTGTTTTGGTTGTAAGGTAACTCCTGGGTTTCTCGCAACCGTTACAGCAAAAGAAGGGGAACAGTGACTGCTTTTTGGAACCTTCCTACTTTAGATGTTGATACTTGGCTATGCGTTTTGTGAGGTGATGGACCTAGTGGAAGAGGCTCAAAATTTACAGTCATGCCCTAGCACTGGGGAGAAACTATAGTGCACACTTTGTCTCTTGGGGCTTAGCAACTCAGTTTTGTCCTGATTTCAGACATACATACTTGAGTCTGCTGTAACAAGGCTTTCTGCCAGATGTCCCCCCCGGCGCCTCATGACAGTGTGGTAGTTTTTATTTCTGAAGTAACTCAAAGACCTGATGGAATGAGCTGGAAGTTAGTTCCATTTCGTACAAATTAGTTGGTGATGAATTCTGGCAGTTTAGCTGGGAATCCCTTCGCCATTGGATACCTAGATGGTGTGGGGCATGGGATTACACCACCTTAAGAAGAGTGAGCTGCAGGCTTCTGCTTCTGTACAGTGAAGGCAGCCATACCTGCCTCTTACTCTTCGTCTCAAAAGTGATGTAACTGGTCCTGGTGTGCATACAGAGGGTGGAACCAATAAAGTTCACTGTAGGAGTGAGTGATTAACCTATTCTGAAACAATAAAACTGGGTCTAATTACACCCTTCCTCCATGTCTTGGTGGATGTCAGAGGTGTTAATTGTGTGCGTGTACAGAAACAGTGTTCTAAAAAGGCGGATCTGTTGGCAAGCTATATGTAATTATTTTTCTAAACCCCCTGTATTTTCATATTTATCAGTGAATTTTTACTTCATCTGATGGCAGAAACCTTTTTTAAAATATTATAGTTCTTCTACTGACAACAATAATACAGGGCTTTATAATGAAAATGTGGTTTGCTTTTTTTAATAAAGTTATATAGTTTCTTGTGAAGTACACTAATGTTATTAGTAATATTACAGAATATAGTAATATTACTGTGTCAGTACTTTTTTCTTGCACACTTTGACTTATCTATAATAGAAACATTCTCATATTCTAACTTTAAACACACATGCACCATTGTTTAACGTTGCAGTGTTTAACGTGAAATTAAACATACATGCAGCAGAACATAATATTTTGTTTTGTGTACACACTGCAGACTGTGTGAAATTCTACAGAAAAGTTTATCTTTAGAGTATGTAGAGATAGGTGCATTTCCTGAAATACACTTCACTTTAGGGCATTTATTGGTAAATCAACTTGATGATGATAAGTTTTATTAGCCTTTGATTATTTTTAATTTATGAAAAAGTAGGTAGTTTTACACACTTTCTACTAATTGTAATTAAAAAAAAAAATCTTAGATTTTAATTCCATTGTTTGTTCCCATTTTAAGGAGCTTTTTTTACCTACCAGGCCTATCCTCTGTAACAATGTGGGCTTGATTACAGGAAGCATTTGCAAAGGAATCAAGATATACTTGTTTAGAGTAAGAAAAGTGTTTATCTTAACTCTCATTATAATTAAATGTATGTATTCATAGGTATAAATTGTTCTAGTTGATGTTGAAATGGATGTCTTTGACAGCTTGAGAAAAAAAGGTCCCCCAAACAAAAAAAGCCACTGCAGTCTTCCCATAGTTCAGAATAGATCTCATTAATTCAATGTTATAGTATATGCACTATATCACAGATCTCTGAAATTTGAAATATGAAATGCAGTGGCTTTCTTAAAGGGAAAAGTAAATTATAATTATATTAAAATAGATGATACTGTAATTAGCTACTACAGTTAATGGATTTTTTTTTTTCCTGTGGTGTAATTGGTTATACAGAGAGCTCTAATAACTATTTAATGAAACTTTACAGAAGAACAAAATTTAATAAACTAGCACTTGGTTGCTTGTTAGTGCAAGACTCAAGTCTTGTATAGAATCCTGAGTTTTAAAATTAAGATTCAACTTAAGTTATAAATGGGTGGGTTTTTGTCTTTTTGTTTCTGTACTGGTGCTTTGGTGTTTTTTAGCTTGCTGACTGCTACATTTCAGAGGCAACTGGCAGACATACTCATATGTCAAAGATTTGCTACGTTCTGTGTACATATGTCTGAAGAAAAAATACTGCAGATGTATTTTTCCTTTTCAGCTTGATTTTTTTTTTCTTACACAGATTAACAGTTAATATAGGTTGCCAAAAGAAGAATGCAGTGTAATAAAATTTTAAACGTAGTTCTTGATGCATGTGGATTAACTAACTATCTTTCATAGTTAATACAGGTTTCTATAAAGAAAAATAATTCCAAAAAAAATTTCTCTTCCTTTAATGAGAAACTTGCTTTTAATTAAACAACATCCTAAATTTGGAAATCGAGATTTAAAAATTATAGGAAGCTTCTGAGTTTCAGTAGGATCATTTTCCAGTTGAAAACCTAAAAATCGTTGATATCTTTATTTTTCAAATACAGAGCTTAATTACTATTGAAAGCAGTGATTTATCTTTTAACAGTATATATTCTAAAAAGTGGGTTATAATAGAAGCTATCTTCCCTTAAAATGGCCAGTCGTGTGAGCCATAATGCTCATTGATAGTAAAATCAATAGAGCATTGATTCTGAGACTTAATCCTTGGAGACTGTTGTTCAGAACAGCGGACATAGCCTAGTAAATAGAGAGTGCTGTTTAAAGTGTTTAATGCAAGAGACTCTGCTGTCTTAATTTATTTTTTTCTTAACAGAAAATTTATAACAGAACATGGTTACCAAATGTTAGTTTGCAATCCTGTTTTACATATTACTATATTTTTTTACCGTTAGCATAGGTGGACCTTATTTAACGAGTAACCAAATTTTCAGTACATCAGTTAACAAGCCTTAGTGTATAAGAAACGCAAATCCTTAATAAATTTCTAGTAGTATTTTAAAAATACTCTTTCTTGATTCTACGTATATTTCTCTGAAGTTTTCAAAGGAAGAGCATCTTTTGTGAAATCTTGTTATCAACCTAATTTGTTTTAAAAATGGTTTTGTTTCAATAATAATTTCTTGTATCCTAACAATAAACTGTTTATCAAATGCATTATTATTTTTTAAATGCTATAACTTTTACTTCGTTCTTAAACAAAAGGTTAAATAGAAGTTTTAGTTTTGAAATAACATGCCAAGTAGTTTTTCTGAACAGTGTTAAGGCATCAGTAGTTAATTTGTTCTGACTTACAGGGCAAGGAAAATAGTGCTACTCCAAATTTTAACATAATGTATATTAATCTTAATATTCTCATAATTGTCATGGAAGATGGAATTTTGTAATACGAATTTTACTTCTGGTAGCATTCAGAACACTGCAGAATCCTGAGGTGTTAAATCTTTCGCATAGAAATAATGGTACCAACTTGAACAAATGTTTTCTCAGAAGTCAGCACTTCTGGATGCGCTGAATTAAAGTATATTTTTAAATTGAAAACCATTGCCTCTTTTTCTGCTTAAAAAAAGTGAATTTGCTTGTGGAAATTTTGTTAGTACATCTCCAAGGTATCAATTTAATAACTATCAAAGTAGCTAGTGCAGTTGTTGCATTTAAATTGATTTACATGTCAAGACTGGCAGTTTAGCAGCTGCGCTATTATTCCTGGATCGGTCAATTTACTTGAGAAAAACCTACTACTGAGTTCTACTGACCTGCATGACAATATAGGCCCTATTTCTATTCCTGTAATTAGGCCTGCGACTAACTCAGAATATTTTTAATTAAAATATTTTGGTCAATGTGTTGCACCAAATTAGGCCTTTCAGTGCAGATTTAATTCTGGAAACAGTGTGATTAGAATATGTAATGAGTTGTGTTCAATTTAAGATTAACAGGTTGTGCATCTTGAACATACAGGTTTTTGAGTTTACTGTAGAGACTTTTGTTTGAAACTTTACTCTGAAAAGTTAATAAATAGAAAAATCTGTTTTGCCTGTGATTTATTTTTGAATTGATGATAACATACTGTAAATAAAAGACCCTAGACATACCAAGATATTTCAAGACATTTGTGTGAGGAAAAACTGACAAATTGTCATAAAATGGTTTCTGTATAGAAAGTAGTATTAGTAAAATTAAACAGTTTTAAAATAGATTGATTTTGGAGACAGCTTTTCAAATAGAAAATCAAAATTGTTCAGCTATGGTGAACTTTGTTTTCTAATCTCATAATCAAGCCGGTAACTTAAATTCATATCTGACACAGAGTGGATGTGAAGTCTGGCAGCACTTTTACCTAATGGATATTGTGCTGCTAAAAGACAAAACAAAAGCAAACATGCCTCTCCCCTTCCCCCAACACTTGTGCTTTTGATTTGTAAAAGAAAAAAAAAAGGTTTATAGTGTTTGAGACGTTTGTTCTTTGCTACCTGTTTACTAGTTTGTGGTTTGTTATTTAGTTCTATAAGAGACCTGCCCACTGATTACTAGACAGGTAGAACTCATCTACATGTTTAGAAAGCTGTTATTTCAGAAGTGAATGAGCTGGGAGGAATGTTGCAAGAGCGATCAAACTACACACACACACACGAACACGCACACGCCCCCCC